TGCTGTGGAGCAAGAGGGGAGGGGAGGCTTGGTTGTCAGCCACCTGGACCTGGACCTGCCCGGCCAACTCACCATGGTCCCTGGGCATCTGTGTGCACACGACCCCCGATCTGAGGCTGGGCAGTCCACATCCCCCTGGTATACTACATGTTATATAAGAAATGTTGCAAACTCTCACAAACAGCCTCTTTCTCCTGACTCTGCAGGTCCAGCAGCTGCACATGGGGGAGAGGCACCAGCTGCCAGCAGGGATGCACTGTCAGGGACACCACCAGTCTCAGCTGGGGCCCTCCATGTGTGCCAGTTCCAGCAATGGCGGACCCAGGACCAGACCTGGCTGCTGGACCAGCTGGTCACCATGGTGGAGAAGTGCCTGGTGGAAGACCAAGCCTGGTACATGGAGGATATCATGCATGAGCAGGAGAGAGACTGGGTAGACCAGGAGTTCTAAGATAGGTTCCTGGTCCTCAAGGATAAGCACCTGGAGGCCCAGGAGTGGCAGGCTGCCATGGTGGCCAGGGCAGTAGAGGCCATGGAGGTCCTGGAGACCATCCCGGCCCTGGTGGTTGCCTTCATGCCACCTACTACCCAGGCCCCAACCACCTATCCCCTGGCAGCCGCCCACCACTGAGCCATAAGTCCCCCAGTTGACTTGGGCTGAGGTGAAGCAGCCAGGTCTCCCTGCCCTGGCACCCACCCCTGGACCCCCAGCAGCCAGAACCCCAACCTGCACCCTGCCCTGCCATTTTCCCCTGATCCATGAAGCCCCAGAGCAGGAGCTTCCTGCAGCAGGGCCAGCACTACATGTGAGCTCTGCTGGCCTAGACTTCTGGCTGCAAGAGGGGGAGGAAGCTGCACCAGCAAAGCAGCAGCTGCCCTTATCACCACCCAAGGCTCCCGCCCACCAGCCTCACTGCAGCATAGGGGGGGTGCCTGTCCCCAGGCTCTGCCCCCTATATGCCCCATCCCACTGCCCCCCCCAACCCAGGAGGGCACACACAGTACACTGTATATAGTCTGTATGGGGAAGAGGGTGCTCTATTGGTTGTGGGTGGGGTGGTTAGTGGAGGGGCTCTGTGGGTCGGGGGGCTCTGTGGTTTGGGAAGAAGGACTCTGTTGGGCGGGAAGGAGAGGCTTTGTTATTGGGGTGGGAGGGAAGAACAGGTTCTGTGTTTGTAGAGGGGAGTAAAGTGCTTTTCTGAAAACTGTCCGTAGTAAGCATGGTGCTGGGGATGTGTGGGCAGATGTCCAGGTGGGCTACAGAGGGGAGTACAGGAGGATGTGGTCTGCCAACACCTCTCACACCTGATGCCCTGGTCTCTGTTGCCAGGTGTGTCTCACCCAGGGCCTCAGGGGACAAGGGATGGACATTGTTGTTGCTGCCACAGCTGCTGGCACTCCCTATGCCAGGTATGCTCCTCTGCTGCACCTTCTCTGCCCAGGCCTCATGAAACAGCTCCCCCTGGGCCTCACAAATGTTATGTAGCATACAGGCTGTGATGATTACCTGGGGGACATTGGCATCCGCAATCTCAAGGCAGCCAGTGGGGGTGTGCCAGCATCCCTTCAGGCGGCTGAAGGTGTACTCCACCAGCATGTTGGTCCAGCCCAGGCACCTGTTGAAGTGTGCCTGGCTGGGGTCCAGCTGGCTAGTGTAGGGCCACATGAGCCAAGGGAGCAGCAAGTAGACAGGGTCTCTGATAAGGAGAGGCAGGACTGCCACCATGCCCAGCTGGAGGTCTGGCACCTCTGGTGTGAAGCGCCCATTCTCTACCAGGGCTGGCAGGGTGAAGTTGCAGAAGACACAGGCACTGTGGGTGCTGCCCACCCAGCTGGTGCTCACATTGATGAAGCTGCTGCGGTGGTCAAAGATGGAATGAAAGCCCCACCAGCTGTAGTGGGGTGGTCACCATGGGGCAAGCAAGTGATGGGGATGTGGGTCCCATCCAGGACCCCAATGAACTAAGAGAAGGCTAGGGTATGGAATCCCTCCACCATCTTCAGGGTCTTGCACCCAGAGTACAATGTGTCCAAGCATTTCCTTGAGGACACTGCACACCTCTAGGACAGCCTCCCTGGCAGTCACCTTCCCCACACCAAAGAGGTGGTCAATGTAGCGTAGGGTGGTGGATGTGGCAAGCTTGAGCAGGGCAACGGGCAGCCAGGGATCCATAAGGAGGGCCGCCACATGGTGGTGGCTTGCCACTCCAGATGTGGGTGGAGCTGCTCAAGTAGCTCCAGAAAGGTGGCTTGGATCATGTGAAAGGACTCCAGGCACTGCTTGTCATCCCAGGTGCACTGGATGATGTGCAGCCCCCTGTTTTGGCTGGCAGGGCAGGCCCACACATGGCAGGGCTGGAGCTCATGTACAGCACCAGTGATGGTGTCCAGATGCACAGCATCACCACCCCTGCTGGGGTCCCAGCAGCAGCATGGGATCCAGGCAGCAGCAGCGCAGTGGCAGGGGGCCTGAGATGCTATGGTGAGCCTGGCCAGGCAGCTGCACTGCACTGGGAGGCAGCCAAGGCTGAGACTGACCTGGGGCAGGTGATAGTCACTGCAGCAGCAAAGCATAGCAAGCATAGTAGCCATCAGAAGCCCAGGGCACAGGTCTCACTCCCAGAGCCTGGGGGTGGAGCAGCCATTGCACAGTGGGCACAGGCTCTAGTGACAGAGTTGCAGAGGATTGTGCTATAACACTGCAGCCTGCTCCAGGCCAAAAACACAGGTGGCCAAGGAGGAACACACAGGGTTGGCTTTTAAAGATGGCCCCAGGTAGCTGTGGCCAGAGCCTCTAGCTCCCTCTAGCTGCTGCAAAGGGGCAGTGCATGGCCAGAGAAGGCTGGGAGCAGGCTACTCCCATAAGCAGCAAATCTGCTCCCAAATGCCTGCAAGTGTATGCTTGCCCAGGGTGAGTTTACTCCACAATAAATTACTTATTGCATATGTAGATGTGCCCACTGAGAGGTAGGGCCAGGGTTACCAACACAAGATTTT